CCTGCTCCTACGGTATGAACTGACTGTTCCTTTTCTTTTTTTCCATGAACTAAGTCGCCACTAGGAACAAAATTTACGTTGCCCACTATCACCAAGGGCATGGGGTTCAGCAACACAAACGCGCAACTGATGACAGTCCCACCATACGTGGCTGGAGCCCTGAGCTCCATCTTCTTTGCCAAGCTCTCGGATCGATTCTACTGGCGCTTGCCATTTGTCGCGATCCCCTTGTGCTTTATCTTCATTGGCTACTCAGTCATTCTCTCCTTCGACGGTAATCTTGGTGGCAACCTCGGCCCTTCTTTCTTTGCAATCATCCTTACATGCATGGGCATCTACCCGGTACAACCTGCAGGAAGCTCTTGGGCGGCGAACAACCTAGCTCCAACTTCTCGACGGGCTATTGGTGTGGCTTTCAATATCTGCGTCGGCAACATTGGTGGTGTCATTGGTAGTTATATGTATCTGGACAAGGAGAAGCCCAAGTATCAGACTGGATTTGGGCTGTCACTCGCCTTTGGTGCCAGCGGTTTCATCGTCGCATTCCTTCTTGAATTGTCGTACAAGTGGGGTAACTCTAAGAAGGCGAAGCTTAGCGAGGATGAGATTCGCGCTCGATACAGCGACGAAGAACTCCTAGATATGGGGGATAAGTCACCACTTTTTAGATACACACTGTAGATGTTGGAGCGACGAGGGAGTGAGGAGGGAAAGTAGATTGCAAAGGAATACATATAATGGTTTCGGTGATCATCTGCCTGCAATTTACCCAAGATAACATCCACCATCCATGTCAGGAAACGGGCCAAATGCTGAAGAGTCAAGGTCAAGCCAGTCGGTTGTCTGCCAATCGTCCAAAAAGTCTTGTAAACCTGGTGTTGTCATATTCATTGGACTACCAAAAAGGGGTTGCCACATCTGTAGAGTTGGATTCGACGAATCAGAACCATTCACAACCTCTACAGGCAAAATCATTGGGTTTCCAGCAACAGTTACGGCCGACGACGGCGTTATATAGTCTTGAGCTGGGACAGCTGTCTTTCTTTTAGCTTCAGCACGAAGTTCCTGAAGGATAATGCTATATCTTCGTGATGGGGAGTTGGAGGCCGTGGCCCGCGCCAAGTGTTGCAGGCAGTTTTCAGCTTGATCTAGCATACTCTGGCGATCATCTACTGACATTGAATTCCGGTAGGTATCCTGTATGGTTGACACGTATACCACAAGCAAGGCGCAAAAGCAGACGTAGTGTGTCCACCAGAATGCGTGAAACATGCGACCCTCACGCGCCACACGGTCGACTGCATCCAGCACTGAGCGCGCAGCCAGGATGCACTCACGGAGACTATCCTTTGCAAGATCTTGCATAGAATCATTGTCACGCAATGTGTTCTTAAGAAGAAAGGGGCGGTGGGCTAACATGACCGCATGGCAGTACGAAAGCTTCAAGGCAGTGGATTGGCGGCGAAAAGTAGGGATCAGGCTACTCGGGTTGACGGAGCCTAGGAATGGAGGGAGGGAGGACTTCCACTCACGCAATGCGGCCCCCAGACGATGGGAAGCAGCAAGCCGGACATGGTTTGGTATCTAGATCTCGCACAGTCAGCACAATATGGGCGTAATATCAAAAACAAAATTGGCATACCGGCTTGATGGAATAGACCTCGCGCGAGATCTGTTCTGCAATCTGTGCAAGACGTGCATGGCATATCAGCGACTCCAGGTGGCAGTCATCTGAACTTGAATTCCGTGGCCCATCACTGGTCATGTTTTCGTCGTTTACGGCGTCTGGGAAATCTTGATCAATGTCGTCATCGTGGTAATGTCTGGGACGTCCAAAGATGACGCCAAGGTGCTTGTCGAGAATGTAGGCCACCCAGAAGGTTCTCTTTCTACACTGTTGTTCAATATAATCGCGCTTAGTGGCAGATGCGGATCTTTTACGATCGTCTCTTCGATGCAAACCCAAGGCCGGTATGATTTGGAGAGCATGACCAAAAACGTACCACGCTTGATTGAATCGGCAAGACATGAGGAGATACAAAACCTGAATAAGCCGACATTGAGCTGACTCGAGTTGGGGAATACCCGTTTCGCTCGCAGTTAAGCGGGTAGCCTCGGCAAAGAAGAGTTCGCTCTGTGGCTCTACAGTCAAGTCGTTTTCGGGTGATGATGCGATGTCGCCTTTGGCCTTTTCTTCGTGAAAGGATGCGATTGCAAGCACTGAAAGCACCACTGCTGTTTTGGCACGACCGATGCCTTGACGAAGAACAAATCAGTAAGGTAGGCTGCCTGTTGCGACGTTTGCACACCGACGTACCGTTGGAAAGCGCAACGTTGGATTCAGCGTTTTCAAGAACGCACGTCAGCCAGGCCTCGACCGTTTGCCGATGAAGTAGTCGATAGGTTGCGATGCATACATCAAAATACAAGTCCAGCAGTGCGTGGCTATGTTCTGATGACGGCATTCGCATTTGCCCAATCTGTCGAAAAGGTTTGTCACCAGCGCTCATCAGCAGCTGGCTGTCCTCGGCTATGCCAAGCTGACCGTTCACAAGCTGGGCGCCTTCTTTGTTTGAGATGCGACGCCAGGCCCGGTGGAGGAAGGAGAGGCCGGACGTGGTGTCTGAGTACTGCCCAGCTACCTCGAGGCCCGGCGAAGCCCGTGACGGCGGCTCCGCATCGTTGGTGCTCTGAGCAATGGCAAGGGGTGCATCAGCCATAGCTACTGCTGCTTGGCGGCGAGGTTGAGGAGTGCTTCTTTGTGCCATGTTGACGCGAGGTGAAGGCCCAGCAGCCGGGTCTGGGGCATCAAGCGTGGCCCGCTTCCCTCTCGTGTACGTGGCCTCGTACTGGCAAGGCACTCGGCGTCGCGCGCAGCTGTCGCATGGCTGTCCACCCGAACACTTTGATTTTCTTGCTTTGCAGACATCGCAAGCTCGCGTGACCTTGACCATGCGTTGCCTGCCATGAGCGGCGTCGGCGGTCCGCTTCTGGGGTACTATACTGCCTGTTTGCGCTATTCCGGGTCAGCTCCACGCGTGCTTGAGGGTCCACAGCTTCTCACTGGGGCTCTGACATACAACTTGTGGAAGCTGGCGATGGCTCAGTGGCACCGTCTGAGGGCATGGTTGCGGATGCATGTGTAGTGTATGAGGAAGACAGGCCAATGAGAAGGATATCCGTTCTAGGGCGAACGCCGACCCCTAGCTCGTCGGAGGCGGAAGCAATTCACCCGCGGGGTTGCTGGTTGCGGGTTGCCGGTTGCGGCCAAGGGCAACAACGGCTCCGCCCCGACTTGATGCTTCACTGCTACATCCGAAATACTCAGCATGCAGATATATATCATGGTCTTGTACAGACGGCCCGTTGCTGCACTTTGTTGCTGATATACACTGCTCCATCTTGTGTTGGCCGCACCTCCCACAACCTGACGTCCCACCATAACAGCCATGGCCCTCCCCACACACTTCACCCTCAACACCGGTGCACAAATACCCGCCCTTGGCTTTGGCACATGGCAAGCCAAGCCTGGCGAGGTTGAGCGAGCGGTGGAAACAGCGCTCAAGGCAGGTTATCGCCACATCGACTGCGCCGCCATCTATCGCAACGAAGTCGAAGTAGGCCATGGCATTCGACAGAGTGGCGTGCCACGCTCGGAAATCTTCATTACCGGAAAGTTGTGGAACACCAAGCACGCACCAGAAGATGTTGAGGCAGCGCTCGATCAGTCACTCCGGGATCTTGGTGTTGAATACCTTGACTTGTTCCTGATGCACTGGCCCGTGTATGTACAGCTTCTTTGATGTCACTTCAGAAGGCATACTCACAATCTTCTAGTGCATTCAACGGCAAGAAGGGCAAGTGGTTCCCCTTGCGTGACGATGGCGTCTTCGACCTCGTAGACATTGACCCAGCCACCACCTACAAGGCCATGGAAAACCTACTCAGTACTGGCAAAGTCCGTGCAATCGGCGTCTCCAACTTTACCGTCAACCGCTTAAAAGACCTCTTGTCCAAGACCTCCGTCGTCCCCGCCGTCAACCAAATCGAGGCACACCCCTACCTCCAACAACCCACTCTCTTCGACTTCTGCAAAGAAAAAGGAATTCTTATTGAAGCATACTCTCCGTTGGGCAACAACCAGACGGGTGAGCCGCGCACTGTGGATGATGAGCTTGTCGGTGTATTGGGTCACAGATTAGGCATGGACCGTGGGCAACTCCTCGCCAGCTGGGGCATCCAGCGCGGCACCGTGGTGCTGCCCAAGAGCGTCACGCCGAGCCGCATCAAAAGCAACGGACAAGTAAAAGCATTGCCAAAGGACGCATTCGAAGAACTCAGCCAATTGGAGAGACACAAACGATTCAATGTGCAGTCGCGCTGGGGATTCGATATTTTTGAGGAACTTGGCGATGAGGAGGTAAGGAAGATTGCTCAAGGGTTTGCAGAGGAAAACAAAACAAAGTTCACCGTCTAGGCATTATAGACGGAAAAATTTATAGACTCATAAGATTTTGATGTGAATAAATCGTACAATGCTAGCGTCTTTGAAGAGAGAAATCAAGTGTTGGGAGGTTCAAGTGAGCTAATCTTCACATTGAGATTTCTACTTACTAGATAGTTGGCTCAAATAGTTGGAGCAAGGTAGCTGGGCTGAGAGCAGTGAAGTTTATCTTCGCCGGAAATCGGCCAGTTGCACTTAGCTTGACCGCGTGCGGGTACACGACGATACTCTGATGGCTTTTGGATTGTACCCTGCCGAGGTCGAATTGCCTGCTACTCTTAGCCAGACGACGCTAGTACGTACCTCGTCTCTGTGCCGCTCGTCTGGCCTCGGATACGAGATAACATTGCCGCCTCGCCAAAAACAAGACTCTTTCTCTTCCTTCCGGCCGAAACAGCACACAGCAATGGAAAATCTAGATGTGGGAGGAAACAAATGTGGCGGAAGAACTTGGGCGAACAAGATTGCGCAGGCCGGGGAGCCCTTTGATGCCCTGCCTGTTCACAAGGCAGCCGAACAAGGGGACATCTCGAAACTCACCTCCCTTGTACACTCTGCCGAGAACATCGACGATTATGACATGTATGGTGTCTGTACACCACTTCATCTTGCCATACAAGGCGATCATGCTGAGGCCGTCAAAATACTTCTTGAAGCTGGGGCAGATCCGGAGAAACTAGATTACTCAGACACTGCACTTGATCCTCCACACCCCGCTGTTGACCTTGTAGCCTGGATTGTATCATCCAAGTCCCTTGGGGTTCTAATTGATCACGGGGTCGCAGTTTCGCCAACTTCCCTGGCTTTGGCAGCATCCTTGAACATGACGGATTGCATGAAGATCGTTCTTCAGGAGCTCAACAGAGACGACTCATTGTACGGCACAAGACAAGTATGTACACGCACGGCTTTGGTACACGCTGCTCAGTGCTGGCACACAGAAGCCGTCGAACTACTTCTCACGCACGTCGTTGGCTTTCCTGACCTCGGCGCTATGGAATATGATCCTGTATGACCGAGGCCCTTTTCATGGCGCTAGATGCGTATTGTTGCGACCGTCATTGTCGCGAACGACTATGGCAGAGAAGCCCAGACAGGTACAGAAACCTGCCACAGCGATTTTTATCCATGCTCCAGAATCTCGTCCACTACGGAGCTGACATCAATGCCACAGTGCCAGAAACCGGCGTGAGTCGCTTTTGGCTTCTCGTAAGCTATGAACCGAGTTTCAACCTCGAGAGTGTTCTAGGTTGGTTGTTGTCGAAGGGACCTCGTGTAGATGACAATACTGGCCAACATCATCCGCCTCCTATCATGGTTGCTCTCGCATATATCAAAGATATCGAGACTATCAAAACCATGGTAGATGCTGGAGCTAGCTTCGAAGTAACGAACCAGAGCTTGCGCACACCACTCCACCTTGCTCAAACGCGAGCAATTGCCGACTTTCTCTGCAGCCTGGGAGCAAATACCTCGGCAAAAGACGACCAGGGACAGATGCCTCTCCACACAGCATGTCATAAAGTGCTTGCAGATGTGGTAGATCTCCTGATCTCTCGCAATCCAAGCGTGAATGAAATTGCCACAAAGGACCAATTCACACCGCTCCACTTTGCGACTTGCGGAAGACACGGTCTGACTTCACATATCTATGTACCAGAAGAGTCATGGAACAGGGAAACATCAATCTGTCGACTCCAAACGGTTCAGGTTCTACTCAAAAACGGTGCAAACATCCAAGCAGCAACATCCGATGGGCTCACAGCGCTGCATGGAGCAGCACACAAGGGCGACATCAATCTAACCCGCTTTCTGCTTGAGCAGGGCGCAAATGTCAATGCTCCTACAGTAGCAGGAGAAACTGCGCTGCACACAGTAATGGCCATCGATGCTTTCCAGGCACCCACGGAGTCCCAGATATCAGCCATGGCGACTCTTTTGCTGGAATACGGCGCCAACCTTGAGACCAAAGATGGAACAGGTGCGACACCGCTGCGGAAGGTCATCAACAGAATGCTATCTATCAACGGGAAAATTGGACCTCGAGCTAAGCCAGGCCGATTCGATATGCTAATAGAGAAAGACGCTGATAGATGCGTCGCAGACAACGCAGGTATTCGAGTCGAAGATCTTGTCGACCTAGGTTACTGGTTCTTCAATGAGACAGGTAAACTGCAACTTAAATCGGTTCAGACCATAACGACGAAGCCGTGTGCGACTTAGAGAGGCGAAGGTATTAGTTAGATATCGATCTCTCGTAATGAAATTGGCTACTAGCTTCTTGTCAAAGCTATAACCAAAAATGACCCGAAAACACAGCGGCAAACGGAGAAACAGAATGGCCTGAAGGAATCTCACTCGGATATGGATGCGTGGCTGGAATGACGTGGCCTTAGATCGGAATGCAGATTGAGTAGCGCGAATAGCTTGGTATATAGGCCCAATGTAAGTACTAATACCCTTAGGCTCCCCAAAGGTCATGAGTGTGTAGCATCGCTATCTCGCCCACTCGAGATCAGGACTTCGGCTTCGCCAGCATCATAGTACCCATTAGTGTTGACACCCTTGATTTCTACACAGTTTGTTCACAGTAGTGATGCATGATTGTGTCGGCAATTTATAAGTTTCCCACTTTGGAAGTCTCCCATAATTAAGTTTCCTTGTACTACCAGAGGTAGTTCGATTGTTCTGCTACTCCGTGTGGGGTCTTTCGGGTGAGAATATTGCCCAATTCCATATCTCCTGGGATGTCAAAATGTGTAAAAACATCTACAATCTTATACAATCAAACTATAGTGATCATCACATATCTTCTGGCAGCGTTCAGCCAAGCTTTTGCGATGAAATTATTGGGTCAACTTAAGCTAATCTCACGTAAAGCCTGAAGCGACTCAAAGATCTAACTTAGTAGAGTCCAAAGCCCATGAAAATCCAGTGGATCTTCTAGTTGAAGAATGGGATGATAAAACAAACATGTCAAAAGACACTAACTGGGGATATAACCATTCTAGGATCTCCTCTCTAGCTAAAAGTTGATGAAACAGGCTTCCCACTCATTCCGAGAGAATACTTTTATAGCACGACAACGCGACGAAGCTTACAACCCTCGTTATCTCTCCACCTGCAACAGCCGTCGCTAGTAAAACTGTTTTCCCTCGCTTCCATACTTTTTTTTCTAACACTTTCTTCCAACTGATCATTTATACAGCTCAAGATAATGCACTACTTAACGCCTATTGTTCGGAGAATTTGCCTGAATAACGCTAGTATGAGTTTATCAAGCTGCAATATCTGTACTTCTAACGGTCAGATCATCAAGGACAACTACGTCTCAAGATTTTGTCATGAATAAGTCTCGCGAAAAGAATTTATCGCTGTCAAAAAGGGCTTCTGTGTCCACAACTAGACGGACGATGGCTAGATGCTTTGAGCACATCGACTGGAATTACTTTTGTAAGTGACAATCAGTTATTGATTCACGCACAGCCTGTACATTTCAATACTTTGGCCAAATATGACCCAACGGTAACCCTAAGATATCTGATGCGGCTAGACTGCGGCACTAGTAGTCTTTACTTTGTGCTATTCACATATTTTCGATCATACACCCGTCTGTACACGGTTGTATTGTGAAAACTCATCTATTATCAGTCTCATCCAATGCATACCTGTAGCATCCCAGATGCAGTCACATCCGCCACATCCTCGATACCCTCAGTCATGGGACCCTCCTTTGCAACATTAACCAACACCAGCCGCCGCTTGTACTCACAAGGAACCGTGAATGAATCACCCTGCAGTAGTTCCTGAAGGCATTTGGTTTCCAAGTGCAGCAACGCACGGGCTGGCACTTCCATGTGGTAAGGAGGTCATGGTTAAGACCAAACTGCACTGGTATGTTGTTTCATCTGTACGCGATGGTTCAAGTACTCTATACAGTCATCTCGTATTCTTATCTCGCATCATGCAAGGTCTGCTTGTCTTGATAGTCCTCTCTGGAAATGACAGTGCATAGTATGTTGCCTGGAGACCTTCTGATGTGTAGGTGGCGTCAGCTCCCCGCGAAGCTATTTCCATACCACCTTTGCTGCCATTTTGAGCTGACATAAGTGATACAGGAATCCAACGAGACCCCGGAATGTTCAATTTAGATCCAAGAAGACACAATATGTTCTTAGGAAATGTATGGAGTTCCTTAAAGAGGAATACCATACGCTTGTCTCCAGGAAGGTCAAGAAAGGGAAGAACTTGGATACCCAAAAGACTCGCAACGGCCAAGTTCTCGTCTGTGGCTCGGGTTGTGTCCCTCCAGCGCAATGACCGGGCCACGTCGCCAATCGTGTAAGTGCCGTAGCCAGACCGCTTCATCAGACGAAACAGTTCCGCGGCCAGATCTGTCAGGTATGGCTGTAATAACATATCTTTAACGGGAGGTATCAGATCGCCTAACGATTGGCGAGTATCGGCAAACTGTATATAGAGTTGCTTCGCCAGTACGCCTTCCTGCAGTGTCCAGAGTCGCATCCAACCTGGAGTCAAGATTGCCAGCAATTTCGCACCAAGCGACTCAGTAGACTTCATGAGCTGTAGACTACTATTTAGCACCAAAAAAACTTCGGCATCTTGGTAAGTGTCTGCGGAGACTGGTCTATACTTCTCATCACCGCGGCGGGTATTTTGTTGGCTTTTCTGTCGGGGTCTTTGGGTCAATGGAAGACTGAGAAATGGTCCTGTCGCCCCAACAGACAACCAAAGACTCTAGTGCTCAGCATGCTATTGTTATTCGCGATGCTGACGCCGTGGGACTTGACCTGGAGAGTCTTGCTGCAGGCCAGACTAATGTTGATGTTTCCACTTCACTTTCTACCCGCGCGATTGTTGTGCTCCTAGCGGTGTTTTGGATTACACTACTGGTTTCCGCTTCTGGTATCCAGGAACATACATGGTTTCTTCTTGCTATTGGCAGCATCGGAACAGTTCAAAACATCTTCGTTGCTGGCTCGCGCCGGGATCCGTCAGCTTTTGGTCTACCCTTGAGTTATGAAAAAGTCATTGCTAGGACAAAGGTAATGCACACGCTATTTGCGGTGGAGGAAGCATTTCCTGGGCTCGGTTTCAGTATGCGCGAAACATTCTTTCGAGGTGGTCAGATTAATGAGGATGAAGTAGAAAAGTGGGAAGCATGCAAACAACCATTAAAGATCGAGAAGGCAGCCAAGAAGGCAGCTAAGAAGAAAGCACAACAGGACTAGCCTACGAATTAGTTCGATATCTGCAACAGGCTTATCGATCTTCAATAAATGACTTGATAGTCGAGCAACTCCGTACTACTGAGTCAGCCGTTTAGATCGGACTTAGTCTGCTATTTTTAGTACGTCATAAACCATCCTGGAAGCGCAACCTTTATTCGGCTCTTCGCAAAGGTCTTGGATTGCGGGGAGTAACTCCCATATTACCAGGTCATTTTCCCATGCACGAAGACTCTGTTCTTTCTAATGCATCTTAAGGCACGAAGATTTAGCCAATCCAAATTCAAGACATGTCCTCCAATAAATCCTGGGCGTTCAACTTTTGACATTTGGTAACAACTGATCAATCCTCCCGCTTGCCTTTTCCTGTACCATGGCATCATGTACGTAAAATATCAAACAACTATCCATATTACAAATGTACGCCTATACCTATTAGATTTGTTGGCAGATCTTCTATGGAGTTGATCTAATCTGGAATCAATGAAATTTGTTTCTAATTTGACGGCCAAGCCGACAGGCCTCAACTCTGACGACAAGGGTGTGCCTGTGGGCCAGTATCTATGAGATTACTCAATTATATTACACAGCATCATGCGGTACCGTTGGTACATGTGGACTATGCTCAGTAGGTATAGAATGCTCGTCGCGATGCGAACTCTTCTTGATATTATCCAATTCCTTCCATCCATTGTTTTCGGTGATCGCCTCGATCGATTCTGAGTCCATCTGGTGCCATCTCGATTGGCGTTTCGATTGCAATGGCCAGCTCAATTGCTTTGAGTGCTGACCCTCATGCTGCTGGTTTGAGGTTGGATTGACACGTGACATACTAATGCTTTCAATGATACTGCCGCTCATTCGCCTGATGAGCGGCATAATATATGGAAAGGATCCTACAACTTGATCAGTATCCCAATGCATAAAACTTCAGAGATTTCCATCAAACATACCACAAATTATTCCAGCATTACACTCAATAGCACCCCACACTGGCACCATAGAAGCTCGGTAGGTGAAATCTCCGACTCCTCGAAAGTATATCATGTTTCGCAATCGAATGATGGAGCATGCGATAGCAAGAGATCCTACGCAGTAGGTAAATATTAAAGAAACTACTTCATAGTCAGTAGGCACTTAGTATTATTATTATTATTATTATTATTGATTAACGTCCTGTCTCAGCTGGTAGGCTATATAAGACGTGCA